TACATATAAAGCAAAGATCACAATGATCATATTGTTAAATTTAAAATTTTAGACGAAAAAACGATATTGTGGATATATGTATGAAACTCGCAATCAAGAGAAGCCCGAGTTTCTAGCTAAAGGGATCGAGACAGTTCGCAGAGATGGATGTCCCGCAGTTTCTAAAGTAAAAAAAGAAGTAACGATAAACACGCTAATAAGAACATCCTTGTAACTTAAATATTCGCTTATTGCAGATACTTGAAAAAGCCCTCAAAATTTTGTTCGAGACGAAAGACGTCTCCCTGGTAAAGCAGTATGTAATGAGGCAATTTGACAAAATCTTTCAGCGGCGCGTATCCATCCTGGATCTTACATTCGCGAAAGAATTTCGTGGAATGCGCGGATATAAAGCCAACGCTTGCGTGCCAGCGTTGGAGTTGACACGCAGATTGATCAAGAAGGATCCTCGCGCTGTGCCGCGCACCAGCGAGCGCGTTCGCTATGTTATTGTCGCAGGTGCACCAAATCAAGCGCTCATTCATTGCGTGCGCACGCCGATGGAAGTCGTCGCCGATCCATCGTTAATGCCGAACTCCGTGTATTACATAACGAAAGTTATCATACCGCCCCTCAATCGCTGCTTTAATTTATTCCGAATCGACGTTAATACGTGGTAAATGTGAAAGTTGTGAAGATTACAAATATTTAAACGACATATTTGTGTACTTCAAATAATCTTTGTTCGTGTTTCTTATTATAAAAAAAAAAATACTATAATGTAACTCTCTAATGTTGACTCTGTTGAAGAATACTCTCTTGAGCTTTTAAATAACATAATTATAACACGCGTAATTACTGTTTCATCGAATTGTAATCGAAGATAATGGAATATCGTATTTACAGGTATAAAGAAGTCTCCCATCGTTCGAATTTCGATAATATCGCACACTTAGGAGGAGACAATCCAAAGTCCACTATTCGCCAGTTCTTTAGTTGCGCGTCGTGCATTACTTGTGGGGAACAGACCAATAAAGAGATTTGTCCAGATTGCCTTTTGCAGCCAAATCGGACCGTTCTTGTACTTCTCGAAAAGATAAAACAGTTGGAAAGGAATCATCAACAAATTACTGCTGTAGGCATAAACGCAGAGAAGAGATTTATGCGAACGAGCATAAATTTTTCCTTAGACGTGAATGTTTATATTAAGCTATACATTGCGGCTAATCATTAATCTTAATGAACTTTTTTTAGATCTGTCATTCCTGCATTCGACGATTGGGTAACATAGAATGTATGTCTTTGGATTGTCCTGTTTTATACCGAATGGCACAAGCTCATAAAGAGCTTGCGCAAGTTACCTACCTGAATAGTATTATTTATGGAAATAATTCCAGTGGAATCAAAGAATTAAATGCAGTTGCTGAATGGTATTGATTACAAAGAAAATAAATTCTTGTACTTGATATATACACGTAATTAAAAGAAAATCAGTACTTTAATTTCAATTGAATTACAAATATTTTTTGTAAAATAGTACTGTTATCATTATTGTAAATACTGTAAATCATTTCCACCAATATAAGAGTAATTTTAATTTTGGTTTAATTTATTGTTTAGCCTTTTCTTATTTTTAGAATTAAAAATGTTAAAAAAGTTAATAAATTGAATCAGGATTAGAGTTAATCTTACATTGGTGGAACCAGACCTCAGTGATGAATTATTTTTACAAATAAATATTTTAAATTGAATAATACATGAATTTTAATTAAATTCCCATTATTTCTATATATATATATATCAATTATCTCGCTCATATATTTTTATATATCAATACTAAATAAAAAAAAAATACTTCTTTCTGTATTGTGTTTCCTAATTTATAATAATTTACATATTTTACATTGCTTATGTACATAAAAAAGTGTAAATTTAACATAAATATATAATAATAATAATACGTAAAATTTCGACGTAATCTTGAAAAGCGGCATAACTTTTGTTCAAATTAATATTTATAGGTATTAATACTTACAAATTTAATTAATTAATTAATTAATTTGTTAACTATTATTTAATCAATTATTATTATTTAATTATTTAATTTTGAAATTAATATTTATATTTATTTCAACACAATAGAAGAAAAGATAAAAACTGACACATAATCGATAAACACATATTGACAATCAATATTATATAATTATCTGTCGCGTTCATAAATACGGCCTATTCTTTTTAGCTGAACTTTTGCACCAGTTCATCTTTCTTTCTTTTCTCTTCAAGAGGAAAGTAGAAGATGAACTAATGCAAAAGTTCAACCAAAAAGAACAGGCCTATTGTAACGAAAATTTCTAAAATGCTGTTTTCGGATAATAAAGAACGGATATGCGATTGGTTGTTGATTCGCGAGACAACAAATGAGAAATGCGTATTTTTCACAGCTGCTTCGTCGCAACCAATCAATGATGAACGATCACAGTTTCGTTTTCCCTCCAAATGGGAAGCAAGTTGATACAAGTTAGTCCACGTCATAGGCGTATAATAAATATTTAAAGGATCGTACGCCCCACGTGAATGAGATGAAAATCTGAGGAAAAGATTTCCTCGTTGTTAAGTCGCGAATCTGATAAGAGTAGAGAGAATCAAATTACTGTAGTGGTTAGTGTAGTAGTAGTAGTTCGCAGAATTAAAGCGCCTCGATTACTGTCGATCGCTGTTCCTGTCAGCGGCATTGTTGGAACTTACTGGAACGGTTATTAATATTATTAACGTTGTTCAGATTCAAGGCTTTTGTTTGTGACTCTCGTTTGTCCTCTTCACGTGAGTAGCTCAACGATTTTGAAAATTTTGAGTAATTATGGAGAAAAATGACGTCCTTTGCGAATTGCGACTTTTGTAATTTTTTCATAGTATAATTGTATGTACGCCATATACAATGATGCGTTTACGAGGTGAACACTGTGAAGTCTTCATCTCCATTAGATCTGCTAGATAATCATACCAAACCATCATTCGCGGCATATTTGTGTCACGTCCGTGTCGCAGCACGGTTAGCAGATTCTGTTGTGACAGTGAGATGCTCGAACTTGCCATTGCGTTGCCATCCCGGCCGATCATCATTCGGCTGTGATTGTTCGCGAGCTTCTGCTTCTGTCATTCAAATACAATGTCCTCGAAGAACAGATCATCATCTTCTAAGATTCATCCTCTAGTCTGTTCCTTTTGCAATTTGACCGAGGACAATGAGCTGGAATATGGAAAGATCTATGAGCACAATGGGATTGTCACCCACTATTATTGTTTGGTAGGTTTTTGTTGCGATAATAATCTTGAATACATCAAGACAGTGGTCTATCTGATCTTTACTTTTATGAACGTGTCCAAAAGATATCTAGGTTTAAAAGATGTCTATTTGTTGTAAAACTTTCATCAAATATTAAACATAAATCTTTCAAAAATGTATACTAGTTTAATTATAGAAAACAGACTTTGAGACAAACACTAGAGAGATAGGAATATTTTCAAAATTTTGCCTTCTACTTATGCCAATTCCCATCAATTTAGATTAACTTTAATCTCGTTTCAACTTACTGTTCATCTTTTTCTAAAAATTAGAAAAAGATTAAATATAAGGGCTTTTTTCACCAACTTCTAATTAAATCAATTGATGATCGACTTGCAGAGATACTAACAACAGTTTAATGTATTTTTTTAGACGAACTGTGTTTAGTTCTCATGTTGTGGCAGTTGAGTCAACCATTGATTAACATTAATCGGAGTTGATAAAAGAGGCTCTAAGTTGAATCGAAATTAAAGCTAATTTACATTGATGGAAATGAACATTAATTATATAAATTTTCTTTCAGCTCTTGTCCTCGAACATGGAACAGAAAGGAAATGATGATGAAGGCATACTTGGATTTCTTGCTGAGGATATACAAAAGGAACTTCGCAGAGGAAAAAGATTGGTATACATATTAAAAGCATCATAATGGATGCTTTCCATTTAATGATATATGTTGACACAAACATTCTATTTTTCTTTGCAATCTATAAGTAACAAAGATTAAGAACGATACTTGTTGACTTGTTTTATCAAATGGAAAGCACCAGTTCTATTGCCAAAGTTTCATAATTTTTTGAATTTTCGAGTTGAAGATCTTTCCTTATAAGTTCAAGTTACAATTTTATAAGTAAATAAAGTTAATAATAAATCTCATATTCCTTTAACACATAAAAAATATATTTTTGTTACGAGTTGAGTATTTTATAATTATATTTACTTAATAAACATTTTAATGAATGAGATTTTAATGACTTTAGGTATGCTCGTACTGTAAAAAGCAAGGTGCTACTTTAGGTTGTTGTAACGTAAGATGCAAACGGATCTTTCATTTTCCTTGTGGCATGAAAGCTGGTTCTCTGCATCAGTTTTTCGGTGAATTTAGGTAAAGGAAAAATACCAAATTGACTGATCGATTGCGATTGTAGTGATCATTGAATAATTTATTTGGAATGTTTCAGATCGTATTGCATAAACCACAGGCCAAAACAAAAGATCGATGAACAGGTTCTTAAGCAGGCTGCCGCAGTAGATGTAATGTGTTATATTTGTTATGATAAAGTTAATACTAATGACTTTGTGAAAACATTATGGGCTCCCTGCTGTAAAAAAGATGCATGGTTTCATCGTATTTGTGTTCAGGTTAGTCTTAATGACTTTATGGGTAATATTTTTTAAATATGAATACAGATTTATATATCCAAGACAATGTCTCATTTTTTAGCAACTTGCATTGAGTGCAGGATATTTTTTCAAGTGTCCCTTATGTAACAATAAAAAAGATTTTCAAAAATCTATGTTAGAATATGGCATTTTCGTGCCAAGTCAGTAAGTATGGCAAAACAAAATTCAGCAATCATTTATTTTTACTTTCTTTACAACTTGTTAAGTTTTGTAAACTCAGTTGGTGTAAGTTAGTAGAAACATGCAGAAATTTATTTTTAGATTAATATTTACTATTAATGCTATATACTAACTGTTATATATATATATATATACAAAGAGCATATAAAATACATAACAGCATAAGAATTTTTTTTATATAATTAGAGATGCTTCGTGGGAATTGGAACCAAATGCATTTGAAGAGCTTTTGTATAGGCATGATCAGTGTGATGCACCGAAATGTGTTTGTCCAAAGGGAAGGAAGTATACAAGTACTAATGCGTAAGTAATAGTTGCTTATAATGATATTAAAACTATGTGCTATACAAGAAACAAAATATTTTTGAAATATATAGTAAATGGGAATTGGTCCTATGTCGTACTTGCGGTTCACAAGGTATCCATATGTCTTGCGGGCAGTTGAAGTGGGCTAATCCAGTATGGGAATGCGAAGAATGTACATCCATATTAAGTAAGCATGTTGTAAAAGAGAGATACATTGTAATTATGACATTTGTCTTATGTATTTTTTTTTATAAAGGTAATGATCGTGTAAAACTAGGCAACAGTTCTGCAATAGGCAGGTATGTATCGTATCTATTTTTTAATTTCACAAATGGTAGAAAATTCCTAAAATGTTTATCTTGAACTATTATAATCGAACAAATAACATGCACATTTAACATGTCTAATCTATATATGTCTAATTTTTTTTTCTTTCTTTTAGTACTAGTCAAAATAGGGATTCTGATTCAGATTTAAATTCAGACTCAGATTCAGATTCGGATAGTCAGTCGAATACAGATATCTCTGTGGGAACTGACTTCCCTATGCCGTGCGCCTTGACCGATTCATCTTCCACCTCTTCCTTGGAGTCTATTCTGGATAATATTAATTTGCGACCTGGACCACGTTCTTTTAAGTTACAACAGCAAATGATTAAACTAGGCCAATGGTTAATAATAACGATAATAGATTGTGATAACAATAGAAAATATTTCAAATTTATAGGACATTTGCCTAGATGTAATGTACTATTTTACTTAACAGGTTGGACTTAACAAGTACTGTGCTTGAAAAGAATATAGCTGCTATTGAAACTAGTACGAAAGATGAATTATTATCAAAAAATGAATCCTTATCAAAAAATGATGATGAGAAAAAGGAACCATCGATAAGTAAAGAAAATAAAGAAAGTAAAGAAAATATTCTTCAGCGAGAAAGTAAGGAAGATAGCTTCCAGAAAGAAAAACAGTTGCATCTTCAGCGAATAAATAAGGAAGATAGTCCACAAAAAGAAAAACAATTGCCCAGCAAAAATGATGAAAAATCTCAGCCGATTCAGAAGAAGACGGATGTTATCATAATTGAAAGCGATGACGATGATGTGGAGGTAAATGATTAATTAATTAGAAAGAGGGAAATTAAAAAAATTTGAATTATGCTTTTAATAAATTTGATTAAAAGCATTGAATTTTCATTAAACAGAATTATATGTATTATCGTAAATTTACTGTTTAATGATATTGATTTAATTTACTTTTGTTATAGCTTATTACATTAACACAAAAAACGAATCTTTCATCTGTACACATGAAGCAGCCTATACAATTTAGCAGTTTGTGTCTTCCTAGTACTTCAACATTGAAGAAGTTAAATGCAACAGTGGTATCTAATAATGTAGCGACAATTGATTTATTAGAAAAGGATTATATCGATTTAACAAAATCTATTGCATCAGAAAGAAAAGCTTCAAAGAAAAACGCATCTACCATCTCCAAGGACCAAATCGATGTAGGTACGTCACAAGAATCTACATTAGATCTAATTACTTTAAACGATGTGAAAACGAACACGAAAGAAACAAGCGAAATGTCATTTATGAATATCAAAATTACTAATGTTGTTTCTCTGCCACCTGAAGTGTTTGAAAGTGTACCTGATGTTATATGTAACGATATCACATTACATGCGAATACCACTAATACCTCGCCTCTTTCTATAAATGAAACATTGGAGCAATTCGTTACCTCTGTCTCGTCGAAGCGTAGCATGCACGAAGGTAATTTATGGAGAGAAAGGAAAGAAAGTTTATATATTATGGTTATACTATGATTGATAATGTTATATTATATTTTTCAGCGAGTAACATCAACAACTGCAAGAAGATCAAAAGAAATAATTTCGACGAAAGGTTGCACGAAACATGTTCTCGAGTCGGAGCTATAGAATCTGATAGAAATAAGACAAATAATACTCAAAATGATGCAAAAAATAGTACAAATAATATAGATAGGCAGCAAAGTGAAAGAACATCTGCAAACAAGTTCATTCCGCTGTTAAGTAATAATCCAGCAAATAATTCATCTTCACAACACAATTATATACAAATTAAGGCGAATGATATGCAACATATGAATCAAATTTTATCAAATTTGGAAGGAAACACTGTACATGTTAATTTAAACCAGAGGAACGAAAACCATGTCACACAAGCAAAAAATACGACAGAATTTATAACTTTTACCAAGACTAATCCAGTTTTGTTGCCAATTGGTAGTTATTATCTTCAACAAATACCTAATTCGAATTTTACAATTGAACAAAATGACGGAAGAAATGAAACAAACTTGTATGATATATCATCGAATAACGTAATTCTACCGCGTGTGACAGATAATACCACTGTGCTTAGTAACTCAACAGTACTTAGCAATCCTCTGCTTGTAAATCAACCAATAATGACCAATGTAACTGCGCCTATTCTGAGTGATAAACGAATAGTAACAGTAAATCAACAAGAAGCTGCATCAAGTAAAGATGTACTTACTAGTACACCTAGTATTGAGAACATTTCCACGAACAAGGCGACACACAAGAAGAACGTAAGTAATTCAAGAATTTCAACAATTATTATGTTGAATATCCAGCCGAAAAATGTTACCTAGAAATGTTTCATAAAATGTATACAAAATAAACTTCCGGAACTAAAATATCATTATTAGTACGAGTAACGTTAAAATATTTTTGTACAATAAATCTCCGTGAAGATACCGCGTTTTTAAGTAAGTAAAATAGAAATATATTCTGGCGAGAAACACGGTGCGGGGAGTATGAGTTGTAAATCGGTTTCCCCGTACCTCTTCTCCAGTGTATATCTTGCGATTCTAACAGTGTGACGGGGATGCAGGCACCAGACCTGTTGAGACTGAATCTACCAACTATAAGAAAGCTGACCCATCAAATTATTCCCACAGGTGAGTACATTTTTAAGTGTTTAATGATCAACTTCGGTCTCTGTTGTAAGTTGTTTGTACATCTAGAAAAAAGTTATATAAATTGAAAAAATCGTTTCTTTCGTTGATTTTTTAAGTTAAAACAAAAAACCTTTGAGTTTATTTTCCCCTCAGAGATATTTTTATTTTGAACTTAAAAAATCAACAAAAGAAACGATTTTTTTCGATTTATAATTTACTTGATTTCAAGAAATGATATTCAAATCGAAGAAACTTTTCTCTGAATATAAATGATTAACAAATCAGCACGATGAAAAAGAATGAAAATTGAATTCTATATATAAATGATGAAATCTTTTTTGTGCATTAATATTAATTTATTATTGTAGTGTCTTCGACAAACAAACCATTGCCCGTCAAAGATCTATCGCAACCTGCAGTGTCTTCCCACAAATCACTAACAATCATACCACATGTCATCGACCTGGACTGATACCGCGTTACGTGAATCTACAGGACCTGAAATTTCGAGTCTGCGCATCGAACAATATTGAAGTATGTTTTAATAGATTTTATTAATAACAACAAACAATAAAACTTGAGATACAATTGAGAAGCTCAGGTAATATATAAGAACACAGCATAATAGATTCAACTTATCAAGAACTATATATGCGATTTTTTAAATGTTGTTCCTTGTC